ATTCTGGGAGTTGAAGTCCACTCATCTTAAAGTGGCCAAGTTTGGACAACACTGCTGTAGTCCCAATTGCGATTGTCAGGCAAAGACCATGCCATCCTTAGAAGAGGACCTCACGGTTCTCCTGTCCTGCCCTGCTCACCTCCACTTCAACTCCCCCCACCCTCCTATCTCCCCCGTCTCTGCCCTTTTGGACACCCTGTGCTCTGGTGCCGATCTCTGCTGCCTCCAGCTGAGCTCTGACGTCTTCTTCCTCCCGCTGCTGAGGTCCAGCAGAAGATGGCAAAGGTCAGCTGGGGGCTGCGGGGGGCAGCAGGGGAGTGCAGGGCGGCCAAAAGGGCAGAGATGGGGGAGATAGGCAGGTGGGGGGAGTTGAAGCGCAAGCTGTGGTCGTTAAATGTGGGCGGGCTGCCAAGTGCCTGAATTTTGATCACATGACCATGGGGGCACTGCAACAGCTGTAACTTTGAGGACCAGTCATAACTACCATTCATTCAGCATCGTCATAACTTTAAAGGACTACCTGTACTGGAATGATATGCCTTTGGGAAAGCATAGCAGACAGAGAAGGTGCCCCTGTCAGGCAGTCCATTTGCTAACCACACATAAACCATATTCCAAGGATGCTTCTGCATAAACCACCTTTCAGCTATGAGTGCTCTGGTGCATCTCTTTAGTTAAGCAGCCAATTGTTCCTAGATGTTTCCCCATCCCTTCCCCAAGACTGGGCACCAAGAGGCTTCATGGTCCTTCATATCCTGGAAAGGCCCTCCCTCCCATTGACACCACATCTCAAAGCCAGCAAGAAATTTTGCAGAATATTTCAGACCCAACATTCAGCACTATTTGGAGAGAACATGACTGGCCAAAAACTCCAAGACGGGCCTATTCATGATAAGGCAGCCCAACTTGCAACAACCACCCCCAGTACACAAAAGAATCAGACCCCATGAAACGTCTAGCCTGTCTGGAGGGCCCAACAGTTCCCAGAAGGGCAGAAAACAAGCAGGCTAAGCCACTGGCAGAAGAGCCAGTTTGGTGCAGTGGTTAAAGGCACTGGGCTAGAAATGGGGAGACTGTGAGTTCTAATTCTGCCTTAGGCACCAAGCCCACTGGGAGACTTGACTTCTAGGAAGAAGGCGACAATGGCAAACCACTTCTGAAAATGATGCCAAGAAAACTGCAGGGACTTGTCCAGGCAGTTACCAGGAGTCAAGACTGACTTAAGACACACAATGCCATACAAAACTTTACCAGCCTAAGGGACCATCTTTACAGACTGCAGTGAAAGGATCTCAACAGAAAAAAGAGATTAGCCTGGGACAGTGAACTGCATTCCTACCTTCAGGGGTGTCTACAGGGTATGGTCAGAAAAGTCCAATGGCAGACAAAATGGTGTAATCAAAGCTCTGTTTTTTATATGCCTCACATAAAACATATAAAAAACAGGTGGATCTTCAATTGCACTGTTGTAATCACCATCCTGACTTTTTTGACCATACCCTGTGGACACCCCTGACCTCCTTGGCTAGAAGCTTCTCCCTATCCCCAAGCACTCCAGGTCATTAGATCTTGGGCAACACAGCCACAACATCCTTAGAATAAGTACTTGCAGAATCTGAGCCAGCATGCTAAAACCTTTCCTGGACATCTCCTTGGAAGAGTTAGCAACACTCAAAACCGCCTGTTCGACTTACGTGTCATCCGTGTCAATGGACTCCCCTCGAGCAGCTCCGCCCTGGATCGACTCCATGGCAGTGGAATACAGCGCCTTCTGTCCCACGGGGCGCTTTTCATCAGACATGCTTTGGGCCCCATCAGCTTGCCGTTCCCGTTCCTGCTGGTCTATGTTGTGCACCCCAAGGAGCAGGCTGTAATCCATGATTTTGAAACTCTCCAGCACCTGAAGGTTATGGGAAAAAAAGGAGAAACAACAACAGTAAAAGCTAGGAAGGGGCTAAAACTTGCTAGGTGAACAGCTGTGGTTCTCCTTCACAACAGTCTGCAACACACTGAGAGATAGTGGACAAAACAGGAAGGTCCCTAAGCTTAGGAGGACAGCAAAAGCATTACCCCTCTTCCCTCCGTGCTGAGCTGTTAACAGTATATTACTATTTGCTCAGGATGGCCGGTCACCTTCCCCTAACTTACCAAGCAGTCCCTCTGCAACGTCTTCACCACAGCGTTGAACGTGTCTGCATCCAGCATGATGCCCTCAGGCATGTCCTGCATGAAGTCCAAGTCTTTGTAGGTGGGGCTTGACTTATCCTTCTCCTTCTTGGATGCCCGGCGTTTGTAGGTTGAGCCTTTGAGATCGTATTTCAGGTGCATCTTCACCACCCGGGGCAGGATGTTATTCATCACCACCACACGGATGTTTTTGCCCCCGGACTGGACGCAGTAGAGACCATAGAACTTCGGCAGCAGCGTCCGTGGATTCTGGTTCAGGTTCTGTGGGGGTTTTTAAAAAGAAACATAGAATAGTCTGGGCACAGGACCTGATGTTTATATGCTTTACCACCCTATTTTGCACCTGTGGGATCCAGGGCTCCTAATGGAAAATGAACTGCACCCTTGAACAACATCCTCCCCTAGTCGTAGATCTCCTGAAGTTCTGTTTCTAAAATGAGCACCTCACAGTACACTGCTCAGTTTCATGTAGGCATACACCAAATTTATTTACTTATTTACATGCATGTGTTTGCTGCCTAGTCATACAACCCCAGGATCAGAACATTCTGGAACATTCCATTCTTGTTCCAGGCCACACCAATCCATCAATTCCTGGAGTGATCTGGGAGTTTTCTGGATGTTTATCTTCTGAGCTCTTTCTGGGTTTGGATTAAATTCTGGAAAACAGGTTACATCTGTAACATCTGGATCAACATGGCCTAAAGGGAAAACAGCTGTTCTACACATGGTTGGTTTTGCACATCCTTCCTTTTCATTTATAGACATTTTCCAAGCTCTAAAAGCCAGTAAGGAACAGGGTCTGATACACACCATATAATAACCTGGAAGAAGCTTCTGGAGGAACTCTGCCTCTTTGTGCATCACAGTCTTGATAATGAATTCATCGTCACTGGTGACGTAAAAGAGGGAGCCACTGGCCCCAGGATTAGACAGCTCGATCAGTGGCTCGTTGCACAAGGAATACTGAGAAAGCGAGAAGAATTCAACAGCACATGTCAAAAGGCTTTTGCCCATGTACCCATCCCAACTGAAAGGCCTTGACCCAGTGTTTCTCAACCTTGGCAACTTTAAGATGCGGGGACTTCAACTCCCAGAATTCCCCAGCCAGCATGCTGGCTGGGGAATTATGGGAGTTGAAGTCAACACAACAGAAACACCGTCCTGACCTATGCATTCCATAGGTCACTTGGGAATATATCCTAACCCTGGGGAATTATGGGAGTTGAAGTCAACACAACAGAAACACCGTCCTGACCTATGCATTCCATAGGTCACTTGGGAATATATCCTAACCCTGGGGAATTATGGGAGTTGAAGTCCACACATCAGAAACACCGTCCTGACCTATGCATTCCATAGGTCACTTGGGAATATATCCTAACCCCAACATTTTTTATTTGCAAGGGATGAAAAAGATCAGCAAATCTTACCAAATAATCATCTGGACGAATGCCAAAGAGTTCTCGAAAATACCGGAAAGCGACAGGTGCATATGTTTTGAACCTGAAGTCGGGGTAATGGTGCGCTGGAGTGAGGTTACTGCCTTCGCTGTATTTTGGGAGGACAGAAACATTTGTTCACACTTAGCAAGACACAGACTCTCATTTTCTCTTTTCCTATAACTGATCATTAAACACATTAAACTTTGACAGCTTGATAAGATAAAGCCCCTCCACTGGCTCTTTCTTTCGGGAAATTTTCTCTAGGGTGACTTAAAAACCCCCGTCTTCATGTCGCCCAATCTCCCTCCCCATAGCAGGGCATTACCTGGGAAAGAAAATGCTCTCCACTACGTAGAAATCTTGCATCAAAACATCCCTCTCAGGCTTGGAGCTCAGGTTTCCCACAGTGTAGCCAATCCCCAGCTGGATGGCCCCCTTGAGGGTGGATGACGTGGTCTGTAGTAGCCAACAAAGAATAGGTCAAGCAGAGCTTAGAGCAGGGTTTCTCAGCCTTGGCCACTTGAAGATGTGTGGACTTCAACTCCCAGAATTCCCCAGTCCACACATCTTCAACTTGCCAAGGTTGAGAAACACTGGCTTAGAGTAAGACTTAAAATAGGAGAGAGCAACTCTTCACTGTCTGGGAGCTACACTTCATAATAGCCAGTATGGTGCTGAGATGAAGGTGCTGGACTAGGAGCGGGGAAACCCAGGTTTGAATCCCCTTCTCAACTATGGGAGCTCCCTGAGGGATGTTGGTCCAGTCCCTCCCTCGCAGCCCAAGTGATAGGGTAGTCCAATGGTGAAGGTGCCAGATTAGGAGCAGGAAGATCCAGGTTCTAGTTCCTTCTCAGCCATGGAAACTCATTGGCTGTCTTTGGGCCACTCCCTCCCTCTCAGCCCAAGAGCCAATGAGGTATAGCAGGGAAGGTGCTGGACTAGGAGCAGGAAGACCCAGATTCTAGTCCCCTCTTAGACCCAGAAGCTCCCCAGGGGACTTTGGGCCAGTCCTTCTCTCTCACCGCAATCTACCTCATAGGGTTGGTGTTGTGAGAGCTCCTATGTATGCAAATCAAATAAATAAGTACCAAGGGCTGCAGTGAAGTAAACTGAGTAGGGACTTGTCTTAAAGGAGTGCAAGGTAAATGTTTCCTGATTATTTTTTTCTTTTTTCATGATTATTCCAGGGGAAGGGTTGCATGTGGTTTTTAAAATATGGTAAGCCTATTACAAGGCTTACCCTTCAGTTTTCATGTCTCCTGCCTCCAGCCATAGCCAGAGGGTCTATGGTCTCAGAAAAGGAGCTTGTGGACTGCAAGGGGCTGGGGCTGGTCACATGGCCCTCCTCCATCTTACAGCAAGACTCTCCAGAAGCAGGCACACTGCCTCGGGATAAAGCAGAGTGTGGAGGGGCCTGAGTCAGTTCCAGCTCTTCCCCTCCTATCCCCACAGCAGAACCTCCACCCTCCAGGAGATCAGACCTTCTTGTATGTCGTTTCCCCTGATGCATCAACTCCTCGGTGGCCTATCTTTTTCCCCTGGCTGGCTCCCGGCTGCCCTGTCAGCGATGGTGGCTGCAAAGGAAGGAGATCAAAGTAAGCAGAGAGAAGCACAGAATATTAATCGCCGACACAGAAAGAGTACTGAAAGGCTCTGCTGAATTAAGCCAAGTCTCATCTTAGTTCTAAGTTCTTGTTTCTCACAGTAGCCAACCAGATGCCTTTGGGTGTTGACAAACTGGAGTCAGAGACCAAGCCTTCTTCCACCACTGTTTCTCTGCACTGCCCCAACATGGAGATAACATGGAGTCTTTAAGACTGAAAACCTTCAGTTAGACCTGTCCTTTAAGCCATCTAAGTTAGCAGCCACCACCACATCTTGTAGTTACAAATCCCACAGGCTAATTATGTGCTGTGTGAGGAAGTATTTTCTTCTGTTTATTCTAAATCTCCTGATCAGCTTCGTGTGTTGGGAAGGAGGAAGAAAAACTCATCCTGGTTCTCCTTCTCCATGCCAGGCATTATTTAATAAGCTGTGTCCCCTTCGTATGTCAAAGGACAGTGGGAAGTCTAAGGTTCCAAGCCACATAAGAAATTAGCCATTGTTCCTCCAAGCAAGAAGCTGAAGCCCCCTGGATGCTTCTGTTCAGATTGACTTCGTGGTACTTCCAAACTCTGCATCCGGCAGCCTTGCCTTATAATGGTCTTAAAGCAGCTGGCAATCTTTAAAAGCCATTTAATCAGTCGCATAATAAGGCCAAAATACTCCAAGTGCGGAAATAAGAAATGGCTTGGCAAGAAAAGTCAGCCTCAGCACTTCTACAGGAGTAGTCATTGCTTCCTAAACAGCAGGGAGTAGCTCTTGTTATAATTATTGTTCACTCTGCTAAAGAGCCAGGAGCAAGATGGGTTTAGGTGTTCAACAGGCAGAAGGCTTTGTGTTTGGTTGTGTAGAGAGCAAGACTGATGCCAGCCCTATGAGGCAGACCAGGTTAAAAAAACGACTCCACAGGAAGACCATAACTTTACTCTACTGAGATAGACTACAGCAACAGAATCTTGCACATCTGCTCATGTTTCACCTTCTCTCCCTCTTAAAGTCCACTGAGTCGAGGAAGAGCCAGCCTGAGCTTCTTCCTAACACTATCTCCTTTCCCAGGGTTTAGCAAACGCTTCTGCCCTTGTTGGTTCTATAACAGCTTCTCAATCTTCCCTTCAAGGCCATCACCATGCCTCTCTAACAAGCAGTCATGGCAGAGCAATTAGAACAATGAGTCTGAGGCTGGGTTCATATTAGGCTAAACCATGGCTTGTTTAATCCAACTTCACAAACCCTTAGCCTTAAATTATGGCTTCAAAATCACTATGGCTGGGTTTATATAAGCCACTAAGTTAGGAGGACACAACTTGGCCTAAGGGCCATATCTAGTTTGCATGGCATGTCAAATACTGGACTCCAGAAGTAGCTGGGGCTACTAAAAGGTATTTTTTAGGGGTGGCTGGGAGATTAAGGAGTGAAATAGCCTTGCACAGGCTTAAGGCATCCCCTTTGTTACTTAACCCCAAACTCTTTTTGGGGGGGTACCTTAAGAGTCAGTCTTGACTCCTGGCGACTGCCTGGATAAGTCCCTGCCGTTTTCTTGGCAACATTTTTAGAAGTGGTTTGCCCTCGCCTGCTTCTTCCTAGGCCTGAGAGAATGTGGCTGGCCCAAGGTCACCCAGCTGGCTTTGTGCCTAAGGCAGGACTAGAACTGACAGTCTCCCAGTTTCTAGGCCCTTTGACCACTACACCAAACTGGCTCTCAATAAATAAATAAAGCCAAAAGGAAAGAGACAACATTTTTGGCCCCACCAACTCTAGGAGGATTCTCCAGGCTAAAAAGGGATGCTAGTAGACGGTAGTTTTCACACCACTCTGCTAAGCCAAAGTCAAACAAGCTACATTATGGCTTAGGAGATTGCCTAAACCCGGAACAAATACCGTAAGGCATGAAGGAGAAACACGGGGAACGTCATTCTTCTAGGCATCCAGAAATACAGACAGCCACAATCACCAGCACTCTGCACTGACAGTACATGACCTGAGCTGACAAGGAAGAACAGGGTTATGCTCAGAGAAAGAGAAGAATTCTTGGTCAAGGCAGGGATCCAGAAGATATATGCTTAAGTTAATGGGGGGAGGGGGGTGTTCAGGGGCGACAATATCTTTGATAAACATCTGGCCAAGATACATTGTGTGGAAAAGCTAACTCTTTAGGAGCATAACAGATGTCAAATAGACCCCTCTTCTCTCCAATTATTCTTCCTACCTGTCAAGCATCTTTATATATAAAAAAAAAAAGATTAAAAAGCCTCCTTCAGAACTGCCAATTATTCTTTAGATGTCAAGAGAATGGACAGGGTCAGTCTGTGAAATTGTTACAGATGGTCCTCGCTTAATGACCCTATTTGGGGTTAGAATTTCCATCGCTAAGCAAAGCGGTTGTTAGGCAAACCATTATGTGACCGCACCACTTAGCGATGGCAATTTTGGTAGTCCCAGTTGCAGTCTTTAGGTGAGGACCTCACACTTCTCCTGCCCTGTGTGAACTGCTGGCTCCATCCCGCTGCTTCTTCCCCCGCTGGGCCTGGTGAGCTCCCTTTGGCAGACAAGCTCTGGTGCCCTGCCAGGTTCACCTCTGCTTCAAATCCCCCACCTGCTTATCTCCCCCCATCTCTGCCTCATCAGCAGTGGGAGAAAGAAGACAGCAAAGGTCAGCTGGGGGTGGCGGGGGTAGGCGATGGCAGAGTGCAGGGCAGCCAAAAGGCAGAGATGGGGGGAGACAGGTGGGTGGGGGGACTTGAAGCATATGTTACAGTCGTAAATGCGGATGGGTTGCGTCTGAATTTTGATCACGTGACTATGGGGGCATTGCAATGGCCATAACTTCGAGGACCACTCATAACTACCATTCATTTGGCACTGTTGTAACTTCAAACAGTTGCTGAATGAATGGCTGTTAAGTGAGCCCTACACGTAGAAGGAAAAGATCTCTTTCTATTTAAAAGTAAATTATAATGCAAAGCTGCCATGAGCCTTAGAGCAAAAGAGGTTGGAGCTAAGACAAATGACTTAGATTTCTTTTTAAAAGTTAAAATAATTCTTCCAAATCCCCTTGTTTTAAAAATCAAAATTTCCCTAGTCTGTGGGCACTAACATGGCAGATTTCTGCTCCATAGTCTCTGGTCATCATCTCAGGATATTTCTACAACTTTCTCTTTTTTCATACTGGGGACGGAAAGACAAACTTTTGATGGCAGCATTCACTAGTTTATAATCTGTTACCTACTCAGAAAAGGAAGAGTTGCTCATAGTCCTGTTATCTTTTGCATCAAGGCTCTATTCTAGGACAGTCTGATTCTTTCCCAAGTCCGGTTCTCAGCGAATAGTTCAGTTACTTGTCAAAGCTTATTGCTGATGACAAGCGTGAAACAATGATAAATCCAGCAAATAATAGAACTGCTTATGCACTGAAGTGAAAAGAGAAAACATACGCATTTGTCCCTGACTCCAGGCAGTCAGGAACTCAGCCAATGTAGGATGTAGCCCTGCTTATGAAAATTCCTTTGTATAATTGAGCTAATCTGACTCCAGTCCTGTCCTGTGTTCTTTGCATACAGCCAGATAACTGAACACAAGATGCTACCTGCAAATCCTCCATCTACCATTTACTTACTTATTTATGTTTTCATTCTATTTGTATGCCACTAAATAAGTCAAGACCCACAGCAATCCAATTAAAACATGGTGAGCGCGATTAAAATTGGAACAACAAACAATATTATTATTCCTAGGTTATTCCTAGATTCTTGCTTAGAACCACGTCATTGCAAAATACAGTGGTACCTCGGGTTACGAACGCCTCTGTTACCGATCTTTTCGGGTTCCAACAGCTCCAGCCGCAAAAATTTACCTCGGTTTGCGAACTCCGCCTCGGGGTACGAGCAGGATATGCGGCCATTTTCCCTCCCGTGCCACGGTCTGCGGCCATTTTTCCGCCCCTGACACGTGGTCCACGGCCATTTTCCCGCCCCTGACACATGATCCGCGGCCATTTTCCGCCCCTGACACGTGGTCTGCGGCCATTTTTCCGCCCTTGACATGTGGTCCGCGGCCTTTTTCTGCCCCTGACACGTCGTCCATGGCCATTTTTCCGCCCCTGACACGTGGTCCACGGCCATTTTCCCGCCCCTGACACATGATCCGCGGCCATTTTCCGCCCCTGACACGTGGTCCACGGCCATTTTCCCGCCCC